TAATAACCAGATTCTTGTTCTTGTAGAGCATACCCAATAAGATGTAAAATTTTATGTATTTGTGATTCTGAGAATCTACGAGGTCTGCAATTAAGTGCTCTCTCTAATACAATTTGCATAATATGTAACATGACATCGCATTGTAATAAATTAGTAACTAAACTAAACACTTCTGTCAATTTAGGAAGTTTAGGAGGTGGACAACATTCTAATTCTCCTAGAGCTTTTCTCCGTTTTCGTTGAGTTTCTTCAGAGTTGCTTACTTCTTCTTTTGTATAATGATAAAAGAATACGTTATATTCTGAATATAAATGAGATTTTAGTTCATATACTCCTTTTGCTCCTGATCCTTGTGAAGGTTTTTTAAAATTTGCAACATCATGTATTACCCTTTCCATTTCAGTTTCCCAATGTGTATCATCTGATAATGTTTTAGTAAGCTCAGAATGAGAAAGAGGTTTAATACACAGTTGCTGAATTATTTCTTTTTTCAATATGTCATCAGCGGTAACCTGTCCAACTCCAAGCACATATCTTTCTCCAATTATTGTAATAAGTAATCCTAAAAATTCTTCGACCAAAGTTTGCCTAATACTCTCATCTTCAAGATGTTTAACAGCATTAACATCAAAATCTAAACTTGCCCACTGTAGAAGATTAAATTTATTCAGAACATGAATTAAAAATTCATTGCTTTCTATCAAAGATGCTCCAGCTTGAAGTAAAATAATATCTTTATCTAGCATTTCGGATCTGCACTTAACGTTATGATAGAAATATAACTGATTTAACAAAGAATATCCGTTTCTTTTCCACATACCGCTATGTACTTGTGCAATCATTACTTGAGTAGCTATTACTGGTTCAATAATTTGCTCTAATGTTGGTTTCGTATGATTAATAAATTCCGCACATTGAAAATGTAAATCATGTTTTTCAAGATATGGGAAAAGACCAGCTAAAAATCTGGAAAGTGGTAGGTGTATAGATACTGGTTCAGAAGATACGTCATACTGAAGACATGTTGCACTGTGATCTGCTAATTCTCTCACTTGGGGAGGTCCAATCTCATGACCCGGTTGTTCATATAATCTCCTCAAAACCAATCTAAAAGCCTTTATTAAAACAATTTGATCCGAACCACACCATTGTAGTGCTAAACTAATAACAGGAGATAATTTAATATGTAAATTGAACGCAGATTCCCATTCAGGTTCATATTCCATATGTTGACCAACTTGTCTCACTACAGCATCCATACACTGCATGCTACTAAGCAATGTGAGTAAAAGTGAAAGTCCTTGTAGAAAACTTTTCCGTAATTCATCTGTCCAAACATCTGGTTTGGAGCTCAGTAAATATCGTAAATCCTGAAGCATATATAGAGCTCTTTTAAAAGTAGTATTAGGAATATCTCTTTCAAATTCCAATTTTCCTGCTGCATTACACTTGCGTGAACTTTCCGAAATAAATGTATTTAACAAGATAAACAGTACATCATGATGGGCAATTAGATGGTGTGCCAGTGTTGGAACAGTAAATAATTGTACAGAGAAAGAAACAATAGAAAATGAATGATCATGATCATCTCTGATGTAATCTTTCATAACAGAGCCATAATTATAAGTAAACACAATCGCAAAAGCTTTCTTGCTTTCGTATTCCATAAGCATTCCAGACATTAATAATCTGTGCCACGCTGTTCTTGCAGATTTCCATAATTGTGAATCTCTCATAAGTATACCTTCTACAATAGATATAACTGGTAATTTTGTATTGAGTGCAACATTACTAAAAAGCACCCTGAACCCCTCACAAGGACTTATAAATTGTTGTAACCAATGTAAAAGCTTCATAGCAAATATTTGATGAGCAATTACATGAACATGAACTACAAGGACTTTTAACGGTCGACTATTATGTCTTGAAGTAAATTTTTCAATATCATTTTTTAAATCCTTGCAACGTTGAAAATCAGAGCATTCTACGACAGCTCTACCATCTCTATCAACACTTGTTACAAATTCTAATGCATCTCTTTGCGAACAATTCATAACACGTGTAAGTGTTGCTATTACTTGATCGAACGTATGAGTTTCATCATTAAATAGAACTGTACAATAATGATCCAAAGTCGATGTTAATGACAAAGGATTATCATCAGTTTCTTTAATGCATAAATCAGCAGGTAGTCCTGGTGTATGTTCTAAAGACAATATTTCATAGCAATACCTTAATACTGCTTCAAAAGTGACGACTGCTCTTTCTGCTATATCTCCAGGTAATTTATTTCCACGAGATTCTTTAGCTTGAATTCCAGCTAAATGTATATTACAAAATGGATCTCTTTTCCAAGCTTCTATATCCCCACAATCACAACATCCACCACCACAAGAGGTTCCCATTCTATACTTATGATTACGATGAGCTGATTGTTTAAAACAATCCAGGCATAAGACACACGTTGAATCTACACCACATTCTCTGCAGCTATATGTAGCTTCTCCCATTTTGAATACTTTACCACATATCACATTATCTGTTTGACTTATCTGTTTTAATACAACCTGTGGATCTCCATTACAAATAAACTCTTCTAAGGTATTATAAAGTATTTTTTGTGCCTTTTCTTCATCAAAATTCCAATCTAAACAATTACTATCTGGTTCTGGACTATATATTTTTGGAACCCAAATTCGCCAGTGTTCCTTAAAATGAGTACATGATAATACTCCTTTATTCATTTTTTCCATCCATATATTTACACATGGATGACTAAAATTTGGAAGAACAGATGAAATTGGTGACAACTCCATGTCCTCAATAGTTTGATGTTCGATATTCATTGTGATAAGTTAAATTGTCAAAATAACGTATACTGAAATAATAAATATTTATGTATTAACGTTTGTTTTATAATTTATGAAATTATAGTATTTTATAACTTTAATATAAAATTATTAATTTAAAAAAATCAATATTGTATGTAATTTATTAAAATTAATCTTTATTTATCACTAATTTAATATCTTTACAATATCAATTATGTAACATGTAATATTATTCTACATATCAATAGCTTAGTGCACAAATATTATATATCTATTTCTCATGAATTTAACTGTCTCTTTATGCTATATTAAAATCAGATGGATATCGACTTTATAAATATGTTAATAATAACATTTTTTTCATTGTATATTCTTTCTGTAGATTGTAACTTATATTTTTAATTAAATACTTCAAACGACAGTTGTATTACATATGTAAAGTAATAAAAACAGTGCACAAAGTATTTATGTAATATAATATAATTATTTAAACCTTTAAATCAGTCCTACTGAACAACACTAAAAGTGGACATACAATATTGTGATTAAGCCATTGATTTATTAATTTACTATAAGCTAAATAATTTTGCATCTCTTTCTGTTCATCTATATTTAAATACTAAGAATATTTTGAGACTAACACATTATTTAAATTATATTTTAATAACATATATATATATGTATATATATGTATATATATATACATACATATATATCTAATAAATACTGTAATACTAACCACAATAATACACAGGATCAACACACTTCTTAATATAATGTACCAACAAAAGGCAGATGCATCATATTATACATTTTACATTGTTATTTGATCCACTATGTAAACATTAGGTACTCAAAATCATTCATAAAATCCTATAAAATGAAATACCCTAATCCATACAAATTATGCGGTTTGGTTTAGTTTCATACAATGCTTTCATTTTTACTCAATCATGATCTGAAATTGATAGGTTACCAGGGACTTATAGACATAGTATATACACGACATATTACTGCTTTTTTTACTTGTATTAGAAAATGTTAGTAATTGCGTCTAATTTTTTATATCAATTTATCAAACGTGATATTTGAATTATTTAAGAAATCAAAAGGCTATTAGTTTTATAAAACGACATTAATTACTATATCATAAAATTTCATATTTTTGACAAAACAAAAGTTTCGATTCCAAAAACTATTTTATAAAGGTAAGCAGTCTTTTCACTAAACAGAACTATTTTTAACTTTTTCTGAAGACGATACTTACTGTTATGACGATCAGGCCAAGGTTAATAAAAGATATTGAAAGTTCTTTGTTATACAAAGTCTGTAGATGACTTTTTCAATTACGTATATAATAATGCTTTGAAATTATCGTTTTGTGATAATCACAAGTTTGCGTCAAAACTCGTATACTCGACAATCGCAATCAAACAAGTTTTGACATCTTAAAACGTAATGATAAGCAATACTTTTGCACAGCTGCTTGAACAATGCACAAAATGGCTTATGAAGTTTTAGAATCCAAAATTATATGTGTATTAGATGCGCTTTCGCTCCATTATTTACTTTTGATTACAGCGCCACTAAATACTTCTGAAGTGATCCTCAAAGTGATTGTAAAACCATATCCGCAGTTTTCACTGGTTACTGTCACGACAAAGAGAATTATATCATTAAAAGAAGATACCAGTGATCTTAAGTGGCGGTAAAATTAAAATTTATTTGTATGAAGACGAATTTTTATAATAAATTAATGAAATACATATTTTTATCATGGTAATATGAGATTTAAATGCATATTTGTAAAAGGTATTTATTTTTATCACAACATTGATATTACATCAACAGAAATATCTATTCTACTATTTTATTATAAAAATTCTATGGAGAAATAGATTTAAATTTTATCACCATTTGAGGTCACATCCGGTTTAGATCAGATGGCGTAAAATTTTCCTATCATTCTCTTAAAAATCATGACTTAAACTAATCAACAAAATAATTTTCATCATTTTCTAACAGTTTTTGTCAGCATAAAGGCAATTGTTCGATTCCCTTCTTAAAAAAAGTCCTCTTTTTAATTAAAAAACTTTGAAATCATCGAAGAAATTTTGAATACTTTTCGGTACCCCTAATACTTATATGAAAAAAAGGAAAAAATGTTAAATTATATGGGACTGAAGATAAAATGAACGTTGTTTGTTCAATGTAAGTATACCATAAGGACACGTGCAGATTGGCACGCGTTTGCATTGAGCAAAGAAGTAATATCACAGTATAAGAAATATACTGTGGTAATATGTAGATGAGCCTAGAAAAAATATATGTCGGTACTCGTCTTGATAGTTCTCTAGATAAACACCGACATATATTTCCCCTAAACTTTTCTAGTGTGCGTGTTACCCTTGGTTACTAAGCGTATTAGAACCAATCAGAGACAATATGCGCAGAACGAACAAAAACTTTTCTTTCGAGAAGTACTTTTTAACAAAAGACTAAACTATCACAACAATATTACTTGTAATTTATGAATATAGGACTAATCACCTTTAATACGAAGTCTTATTATTGTAGGATTGATTTCCTTGCTTTGAAAATAAGCTCCTCCTACATAACTATTTGTCTAAATATACAATAAAAATTGAGTTTTAACTAGCTATTGTTTACTGAATTATTTAAATAGTATACATTAAATTATCAATTATATACAGTGAAATTGTGTCAATTAAAGTGTATAAAAATGTTAATAAAAGTGTAATAAGTAAAAAGTGAAAAATAACCAGCAAAACAGGTATATGTATGTGTAAATAGAAGTAAACATGTAAATAATATTAAATTATACAAAAATTACTTGTAGAAATGGTTGTATAACATATTGAATTAAAATTTGAATTTAGAATAGTCAGAATTTAACTTTCAAACAAAAATATGTGTTTATAGGAAAGCAAACATGGCCTTACGTACATATGGTGATAAACCTATAAGTTTCCAAGTGGAAGAAAATGGAGAATATTATTGTATTGGATCTGAAGTGGGCAATTATTTACGCCTATTTCGGGGCTCATTGTATAAACGTTACCCAGGAATGTTTAGGAGATCTATTACAAATGATGAACGTAAAAAGCTGGTAGAACTTGGATTAAGTCAACATGTACTTGCATCTAGCGTATCACTTTTAAGAGCTAGTGAGGTAGAAGATATTATTGAAGGCAATGATGATAAATATAAGGCTGTATCAGTTCATTCGACAGAGCCTCCAGCACCTAGAGAAGGAAAATCAAAAAAATCTATGCCTTGGGTACCTAGTTTACCAAATAGTTCACACCTAGATGCAGTTCCTCAAGCTACACCAATTAATCGTAACAGAGTGCATAATAAAAAAGTCAGAACATTTCCTTTATGGTAAATGATTATATGTATAATAAATTTTATATTTTTTTAATGTAATTTATGTTATATCAAATGTTTAGATTGTATTTGGATAATCGACATTCTCCTATATAAGAAAAATGAAAAGATGTTTTCCATTATATATTATATAAAACAAATAAAATGAAATATTTACTTTAGGATAAATACACATGCCAAGTTATAAGTATTACATATATTTGTTTAATTTTTTAGTTTTGATGACACAGATCCATCAGCAAATTTGGAAAACGCAGCACAACAAGAAATGTTAGTTCCAATTCGTTTAGATATGGAAATTGAAGGACAAAAATTACGGGATACCTTCACATGGAATAAAAATGGTACATTTATTTGTTTAATGTAATTATATATTGTTGGCAAAATATGAAGTACGGTAAAGTATAACATAAAAAATATTAATTAAACCTAAGTATTAATTTTGTTCAAGTTTGTAATTAAAAAGGGAAACAAAAATAGGTACATAATAATAGTTTTAAATCATTATCTATTCTCTAAAACTCAATAGTGTATGCATTGCTTAGGACTTAAACTTTGCAGATAATCTATTCTTATCATGTAATTTATATTAAAATGTTACTACTTTTAAACATTCCATAAAATAATATATTCTTTTCAGAAAGCCTTATAACACCAGAACAATTTGCTGAAGTATTGTGTGATGATTTAGATTTAAATCCATTAACTTTTGTACCAGCTATAGCACAAGCTATAAGACAACAAATTGAAGCTTTTCCACAAGAAACAATTTTAGAAGATCAATGTGATCAACGAGTTATAATTAAATTAAATATACACGTGGGAAACACTTCTTTAGTAGATCAAGTGGAGTGGGATATGTCTGAAAAAGAAAATAATCCTGAAAAATTTGCAATGAAACTTTGTGCTGAATTAGGTCTTGGTGGAGAGTTTGTCACTGCTATTGCTTATAGGTAAATATAAACAATATTTATAGTATATTTTAATATTTATATTGATATTTTAACAACATGTTAAAAAGTTAAATTTATGTCTAGTGTTCGTGGACAATTATCGTGGCACCAAAGAACTTATGCATTTTCTGAAGCCCCTTTACCTACAGTAGAAGTACCTTTTAGACCACCTTCTGAAGCTGACCAATGGGCGCCGTTTTTGGAAACATTAACAGATGCAGAAATGGAAAAGAAAATACGTGATCAAGATCGAAATACACGGTAAGAATGACTATTTTATGTTAATTTTTACATAAATCTTACATACATTAATTAAAGAATTTTGATCTTATTGTTCGTTTTCATTTCAGACGGATGCGACGTTTAGCAAATACTACACCTGGATGGTAAAATATGTAAATTACATTGGTAAATTATATTGATAATAGTACTAAGGTTTGGCATTTTTTATATAGATTTGTTTAAGAGATATTTACTTCGAATTTATATTTTTATTTACTGAGTAATCCTACAATCCTATTATTCTATTTACTGACTTTATAATCGCTCTTTTAATTTCCATTAGACATCATATATTCAGTTACATAACATCAGATATAAAAAGTTTTCTGATAGTATATTTTAGTTTCTCTATTTATGAAATATAACTCACGTGATCATATAACGAAATATTCCCAGTAATGATAAGAAATTTGTAACACTATTCCATTCGTGGTTAATAATTGCTCTAACAAAAAGCTAATCTAAAATATTTTAATTTGAGAAAAATGTGGAAGAGTATAGATAAAATTCGAATAAACAATTATGCATAAATTTTTATTTCATATTCATTTTATCACATCATTTTAATTTTTAATTGTAAAAATGTAATTAATGTTTGGTAACTTAGTAACTATTAAGAAGTAATGAAATTGTAAATAAATTTTCAATTTTTTGAAACCCACCCAAACTCTTACAACGTTTTCTATTGTTTTTACGAATAAAATAAAATAATTAACGAAAATGAAAACTTAAATATTTTTAAGCAAAAGATAAAATATTATAAGAGGAAAAATGTATTTTGAATGAATATAAGAATAAATGAATTATGGTAATGCGGAAAATAAAATTTATTCATTTTATATAAAAAATTAAATTAATAAAATATTATTAAAATATATAATACGTAATGTTAACAAACGTTTTTAAGTAACTCAAGTTTATTAAATACATTACTGTTTAATTTAATTAATGAAAGAAATTATATTAATGGTGTAAAGAATTTTGATTATTCGAGCGTCCAATTATTATTTTACATCAAACATCAAATTTATCATTTTCAATTCTCAATCTATGAGAAAAAGAAATTTCAGGAGAAGGGGAACTTGCTACGCGCATCGAAACGTATAGATATTAATCGACTCAGTCTAGATACAACGTTTAACGGGTAAAGACTACCGGCAGATAGAAACGAAGTTAAAAGATGGATATTAGTTCCTTAATGCGCAAGCCGTTGCAACAATCAAGTACAATTTCGACATTCCGTAATAATCCTTTTCCTTCTAGACCCTGGCTTATTGATAATGGAGCTGCAGCAGCTGCCGGTAGTAGCGGTGCCAAAGGAATTATAGCTGGTATATGCTTTTTTGTTCGTAATATTTATCAAATTAGTATCACTTTTATAATTTATGTTCAGTGTGCTTGGCCTACTATTTAAATAAACTGGTAAAACATGAGTGCCTTAACTAAGAGTGAGAGAGAAATATAAGCGGATATAAGTGTAAAGTAGAGAGAGAAAAAGAGAAAGATAAACTTTGAGTCAGCGCATTCAGCATATGATAGATTCAAAGGTTGAAAAATATTTAACCTTGAAAGTACGAGCCAAAAAATTATTTTTTTCATTAATGAATGAAAATATTTATCTATCTTTTATTTGAAGATGCGACAACTTCCGTGAATGTTGTTTTAATAAAATAATATACAAATTTTTTTCTAAAAACAATAATAAAATATTAATAATTTTTGTCTTAGGGGGTATTACTGGTGGTATAGAGATATGTATTACATATCCAACCGAATATGTGAAAACACACCTACAGCTTGATGGAAAAGCTGGAGCTGGTAAAGAATATTCAGGAATATGGGACTGTGTAACAAAAACTATAAAAAGTCGAGGATTTTTTGGCCTATATAGAGGTCTTTCAGTGTTACTTTATGGTTCCATACCAAAATCAGCTGTACGTTTTGGTTCCTTTGAGACAATAAAGGGTGTACTAGTGGATGCAAATGGAAATCTTACTAGTCAAACGAGTTTCATAGCAGGATTATGTGCTGGAGCAAGTGAAGCTATATTTGTTGTTACTCCCATGGAAACTATTAAAGTAAAATTTATTAATGATCAAAGATCTGCTAATCCGAAATACAGAGGATTCTTTCATGGAGTGACAATGATCACTAAAGAACATGGTAAATAAAATATTGATAATTTAATTTTTAAAATAAAACAAATAATATACATTATAATTTGCAAATATAAATTTATTGAATATGTAAATATGTTTAAATTGAAACAGAAACACATAAAGCGAACTAAAAATTTAATTATGCAGTAGTCTGAATATGAATGTATGTAAGTTTACCTTGAACTATGAACCTCATCAACTTCATGTAAGAAAATAAGCTCATATATCAATGGTTCTCAGTTTACACTTGCAAGAATGCAGTAATAAGTATTTTATACTTATACTGTTTAATTTCACTTTATTATTAATTTTGGCTATTTTGTGTCTTATAATATTAATTAAATAATATATAATGTAATTAAAATTTTTAGTCATAATGTTATAAACTATTTTTAGGTTTTAATTATATAAATTACATAAAAGTATTATAAAGTGAAAGAAATCTTATATACATAATTTTTTGTTTAGGTCTTAGAGGTATATATCAGGGATTAACACCTACTATTTTAAAACAAGGAACAAATCAAGCAATGAGATTTTGTGTTATGGAGACATTGAAAGATTGGTACAGAGGTGGAGATAAAAATGTACCCATACCAAAATTAATTGTTGGTGCATTTGGTGCATGTGCTGGGGCAGTATCAGTTTTTGGAAATACCCCTATTGATGTTATAAAGACTCGAATGCAGGTACGAGTATCATGCATTCCACATTTTCTCTAAAATTGTAATTTTTTATTTAAGCATAAATTATTAAATGTATATCATATTTTTAGGGCTTAGAAGCCTCAAAGTACAAAAATAGTGTAGACTGTATGATTCAAATATGGAAGAATGAAGGCCCAACTGCATTTTATAAAGGAACCATTCCAAGATTAAGTAGAGTATGCCTAGACGTTGGTATAACATTCATGATTTATGATTCCTTCATGGAAATATTTAACAGAATTTGGCCTTGAAAGTTACTTTTGTAACTATATTATTTAAAAATATCAATGCATGTGTAGCTTTCATAATTTAATAGTTATATTTGTAATAATATATTTCTAAAAATGTTTCTTGTTTTAAATATGTTACTACAGTACGGATTTTAATGTAAATTGAAGAATATAAAATTATTTCAAAAGGATTCATTTGTAATATCAATATTGAAAGCTACAGTTGCATAGAGCACAAATTCTGTTATACATATATTTTTTTATGTGCATTTTTATTTAACATAGAACCGATGCACAAGTGGAAGATGTGAATTAAATGTGAATTAAATTCACAACAAATTCAATTGTGCCTAGAATTATTGTTGTTGCTGATTATATATCAGTTCATTAATATTGTGTAAAATATTATTATATATTTAACATTCCTATATATTCGAATCTTCGAATAAATGTTTATAATATGAAAATGTTTTGTACGTAATATGCATAAGTCATGTATATATACGTGTATATCATCTATTCTAGAAAATAATGTACAGTTTTGGTACAGAATAAAAAATATTTATTACCTGAGCGAAGGAAAATAGATTTATTTTTGTATATGTTTTTATCAATTACAGTGTATGTAATAATGTTGAAATACTGTAGTAGGTAATATTAAAAACCATAAAAAGTTGTTTACTAAAATCAGATGTATGTGCACATTCCAATAAATATAACACTCTTCGCTCAGATATTCTTTATATCTCATAGAGTATAAAAAGTTAATTACAATGGCTGTGACATTCAAACAAAAATCAATGTGTAAAAAAGATTAGAATACATAATTTTGTAATCTTATAAGAAATGCAAAATATCTATTTTATTATTTAAACCACTGAAAACTATTGTTCATAACATTTTGTATTATTTATACAACAAAATATATATCTTTATAGTGCTGTTTTTAAATATGTTTACAAAAGACCCTATTAAAATCTATAATGCTAACAGTTTAACAATATTTTTATATCTAAAAATTTTCAATTTTATATATATATAAATATTTATACTCATAAGTGAAATAATTATTTATGATAATTATAATTTCATGAACAACATTTATACATTGCACAAATTCTAATTTAAAAATTATATTACTGTTTAAAGTACATTATGCAAATGTTCCTAAGGTACATTATATGACATTTTGTGTGTATTATTGAAACGACGTATTTATACAAGATGTTTACAAAACTAATCTAAAATGTGTATTTTAAATATGCATGTATATATGTACATGTAGTTTCCATAAGCTATAGATATAAGGCCCAGTATGCAAGAGATACAGAGGCAAGCAGTGCCGACCTCACTCTAGGTTCAAGGGGGGGCCTGGGGTCGCATTCCAAGATGGCTGTGTCTGAGGAATGCAGTGGGTGCCCTCCTAAGACGCCTTCCTCCCTCCTTTTTTTTATTAAACTATTTCACCTATCCTAACGAATACTTTGATTATTAGGGCGAAGTAGTTATGTCAATTTGTAGCCGACGAGTGTCATTTAAGTTTGAAAACAGTACCCTGTGAAGAATAAATGTAAATGAGAAAAAGAAAGGTGATACGGGAACTCCTAGAAAGGGCCTATACTGTAAAATATATGGTCTTATCTAATGAAGCTTCCTCGCCACAGATAATGCTTATGCAGGAGGATGCTACCTGCTCGTCTTAAGCAATGTCTCATAGGGATATCTCTGAGGTAATAAGAACTTTCGAAATATACCCTAATGAGTATTATTATTACTGTTTATTATTCAAATTGTTTAATTGTACATATTTTCCTTAAATCGTACGAAACTTAATATTTATAATTTTGATATTAAATTATACATCTGAGATTATAATTATATACATACCATATCATATACGATAGTACTAATATTGCAAATTTAAGTTGCAATAATACTAATAAATAGAAGACACACTTAAATTTACTTTATTTGAAGTACATTATTTATGGAAATGTTTTTAAATATAATTATTATATTGGTAAATATTAAACTTCTTACTATAATGAATATTATTTTGTAAGAATAAAAGTAAATATAACAATAGCTATAAAGTAAGTAATATTTAACAGAAATAGTTTCTATCAAAAAATATGAAGTAGACTTTGTATATGATACATATGTAAATTATACCTTCTATAAAATATTATCCTGTTTTAACATTGAAGGTGGAGCCCGAAGGTACGTCGGCCTTGGCTGCTGGATCGAGATCTCTATTCTTAGAGACTGTACGTCGTAGCAATGCAGCATGTCAAAATGGTGACTATGCTCTTGCTGCAACTTTATATACAGAGGCCCTTGTTTTGGATCCACTCAGCCATGTGCTATATTCAAACAGGTCAGCTGCCCGGCTTAAAATGGGTTTATTTGCACTTGCGCTTCAAGATGCTGTTAGAGCCACCGAACTTAGTCCTCAGTGGCCAAAGGTATATTTATTCATTCTTTAAAAATTATTTTTTAATTAACCAATGAAACTTATTTTATTAATAGGCATACTACCGTCAAGGAGTAGCATTACAATGTTTAGGCAGACATGGGGAAGCTTTAGTTGCCTTCAGTACAGGTCTGGCACATGATCCTACTAATTGTCAGTTATTATCTGGCCTGGTAGAAGCATCTTTAAAATCACCATTACGTGCGACATTAGAACCAACATTTCAACAATTACGAGCAATGAAACTGGATGAATCTCCTTTTGTTGTTATTTCTGTTGTTGGTCAAGAACTTCTTGGAGCAGGACAGTATAAAGCAGCAGCAGGTGTATTAGAAGCTGCTCTCACAATTGGTTCTTGTAGCTTAAAATTGAGGGGTTCTGTATTCTCAGCTCTTTCTAGTGCATATTGGGCATTAAACTCTTTGGACAAAGCTATCAATTATATGCAGCAAGATTTAGGTGAATATTAAAAATAAGTAAAAGGAAACAGGAATATATTAATAAAACATAATTTTGAAGTTTGAGTAAAAACATTTGTAGGTGTTGCACGATCTTTAGGAGATACACAGGGTGAATGTAGAGCTCATGGAAATTTGGGTTCTGCATATTTTAGCAAAGGCAGTTTTAAAGAAGCTTTAACAGCACACAGGTATCAGTTGGTTTTAGCTATGAAGTGCAAAGATACTCAGGCTGCAGCATCTGCTTTAACTAGCCTGGGTCACGTTTATACAGCTATTGGTGATTTACCAAATGCACTTGCATCTCATAAGCAATGTGTGCAGTTAGTAAAACAAATGGGAGATCGACTTCAGGAAGCACGAGAAATAGGTAATGTAGGGGCGGTTTATTTGGCAATGGGAGAATTTGAAAGTGCTGTTGACTGTCATACACAACACCTGAGAATTGTAAGACGTTTAGGAGATCGTGTAGAAGAAGCAAGAGCATTTAGTAATTTGGGTTCATCTCATCATTATCGAAGAAATTTTGGTCAGGCAATGGCATATCATGAAAATGTTCTGAGAATAGCTCAAGAACTTGGTGATAGAGCTATAGAAATGAGAGCTTATGCCGGATTAGGTCATGCTGCAAGATGTGCGGGTAAATATCTTTTTTCATGAGAAACAATGACAAAATTAATTTGCTTATATATGTTTTTTAACTATTTTTATTTAGGTGATCTTGCACAAGCCAAATTGTGGCATCAGAGACAACTTGATGTTGCTTTAGCTACAAAAGACAAAGTAGCTGAGGGACGAGCATGTAGTAATTTAGGAATAGTTTACCAGTTACTTGGAGAACATGAAGCTGCACTTAAATTGCATCAAGCTCATTTAGGGATTGCTAGGTCATTAGGAGATAAAGCTGGAATGGGTAGAGCATATGGAAATATTGGAAACGCGTATAATGCATTAGGATATTATGAACAAGCTATTAAATATCACAAACAAGAATTAACAATAAGTAAAGAGGTAAATTATTCAGAGTATGAAATAACAAATAATTTTTACAGTGAACTTATACAATGTAATTATAAAATGTTGTTTTGTGTAGGTTAATGATCGAAGCTCAGAAGCCAGCACTCATGGAAATTTAGCAGTAGCGTATCAAGCTGTACAAGGTCACGAAGCAGCATTAAGACATTATAGAGCTCATTTAGCTATAGCACGCGAGTTGAAAGATACAGCCGGTGAAGCATGTGCTTTACTCAATCTCGCCAATTGCTTGTCATCTCGTGGTAGATTTGAAGAAGCAGTTCCATATTATGAAAATTATTTAATGCTATCACAGGAATTACATGATGTAGAAGGAGAAGCAAAAGCATGTCACTTCTTGGGTTATGCCCATTATTGTTTAGGTAACCATCGTGAAGCTGTTAGATATTATGATCAAGATTTGGCATTAGCCAAGGATTTACAGGACAAATCTGGAATGGGAAGAGCTTATTGTAATTTGGGATTAGCGCATTTAGCTTTGGAAAATTTAGATACAGCATTGGAATGTCAAAAGTATTACTTGGGTAAGAAATTATGTTTATCGGAAGATATTGTAGACAGTCTGAAATATTGTAAATTTGTATATCTTTAATATACTTTTTATAATCTTTTTATTTGTATTTAGCTATTGCACACATGACTAAACATTTACCTGGAAAATTCCGTGCTTTGGGAAATATTGGTGATTGTCTTTTACGTTTGGGTGAAGCCGAAGAAGCAATAAAAATGCATCAACGACAATTAAACTTAGCCCGACAAGCAAGCGATCGTAGTTTGGAAGCTGCTGCTTATGGAGCTTTAGGTATTGCACACCGGACGATAAAAAATCTTGATAAAGCATTAGGATTTCATACTCAAGAATTAACTTTAAGACAAGAAGCTGGAGATTTACGTGGCGAGTGTAGAGCTCATGGAAATTTAGGTGCAGTACACATGGCATTGGGTCAATATACTCATGCAGTAAAATGTTATCAAGAACAACTTGAACGTGCAAAAGAATTAGCAGATTCAGGTGTAGAAGCACAAGCTTTAGGTGAAACTTTAATTATGATATATAATAAGTTAATTGCATAATTGCAATATTTACTATTTTTTTTCTTCAAACAGGAAACTTAGGAATAGCTAGACTTAATATGGCACACTATGAAGATGCAATTGGATACTTTGAACAACAATTAGCAACGTTAGAACCATTGACGATGGGCTCAGCTTTATTGAACAAAGCTAGAGCACTTGGGAATTTGGGAGATTGTTACGAAGCTTTGGGAGATCCAGAAGAAGCTATTAAATGTCATGAACAACAATTGGCAGCAGCTACAAAATTAAAAAGCATCAGAGAACAAGAGAGAGCATATCGAGGTTTAGGTCGAGCTCGAGAAGCAACTGGAAATTTACAAGAAGCTTTAGTTTGCTTCGAAAAAAGATTAGTGGCTGCTCATGAAGTTGATAGTCCAGAATCACGAGGTGCAGCTTACGGAGATTTAGGTAAAAATTGATATATTAATCTTAAAGATGAATTCATTTTTTGATGTGCGTTATGAATTGGCAAATGTTAATTTTATAGGCAGAGTGCATGCTGCATTAGGTAATCATGAACAAGCTGTTAGTTGCTTATCGCATCAACTTGCTCTTGCCAGGGGACTTGGAGATAAAGCTGCTGAAGCAGAGGCTGCTAGTGGATTAGGAGCTGTTCACTTATTAATGGATGATCCAAATTCCGCATTACGGCATCATCAGTTGGAACTTTCAATTGCTGAAGCTTTAGATGCAGCTGGATTACAAGCTAGAGCTTGCGCAAATCTAGGCATAACTCAAGAAGCATTGGGACAATTTGAAGAAGCTATAAGATTACAAGAACAATCATTAAGTCTTGCAGCGGCAGCTGGAGATCAACCTGCAAGAGCAGCTGCGTTTTCTAGTTTAGGACGTCTTCATCATTTATGTGGTGATTTGTCACGAGCTTTGAGTTATTTACAATCTGGATTATCATTGTCTGAAGGATTGGGAAGAAGAGAGGAAGCTGCTAGATTAAGACACAGACTTGGCCTTGTTCACTGGGAAGCTGGTGAAGCAGCTATTGCTGTAGAACACTTAGAAAAAGCGGCAAATTTATTAGAATCATTAGATGGAATTTCTTCAACTATTATATGTGGACAACCAAATAAGTCCGAGTTATTATCAGAAACTTATAGAATGTTACAAAAAGTACTAATTAGTTTAAATAGAGCTGAAGAAGCTTTGAATTGGGCGGAAAGATCAAGACGTTGTAAAAGTAACTGTTTGGATGATGCTGCGCATTACTCGGAAATCATTGATAGACAACGTGGAGTTATTTTATATTACAGGTAACTCAAATTTATTAATAAATTATGTGTAAATGACAATTCTGCAAAACGGTTGATATATAAAATAATGTTGTAGTGAAGTCGGATGTGAGTTGCATGCTTGGTGTTTAGCTCCCGGCCGTGGACTATTACGATTTCATTCTACTACTTTGAATGATGGCATAGGATTGGAAAAACGAGTTCTACAAGCACGAGAAGCTCTTTTAGATGAAACAAGTGAATTTATCGAAGAAACAAAAATACCGTCGAGGGGACATCATCTTAATGCTAGTTCATATAGTTTAAGTAGTTTGTTCAGTGTAGGATCAGTTAGTTCAAGAGCAGGAAGTGCTCGATGGGGACGAGGAACAAAAGGTCCTACGTGGCAATCACCATTACCAATTCAAGTACTTTATGATTTACTTTTAGCACCATTTGAAGATCTTTTACCGCCAGCAAGGAAAGAATTAATTATGGTAGTAGAGAAATCGTTATATTTGGCGCCACTTCCAGCTTTACAATCAAATCCCGGAGAAGATTATTTGTGTGAAAGGTTTTCTTTATTAGTTGTACCATCTCTCGCAGCTTTAAGAAAACGGTCGAAAACTCCTATGCCAGAAGGTGGTGCAACAGTAGCTGCATTAGTTGCAGGAAATCCTATACTTCCTGAAGAAGTTAGAGAAGAATATGGATGGTCTGAAAGTGTATCTTCTACTGAAACAGAATCTGAAATCGTTGCTGAATTATTAGAAGCCCGTGCTATAACTGGTAAATATCACAATTTCGCGTTTTATTAAATAAACTATTGATCAATTTACTTATTCAATTTTTTATTGTTATAAATAGGGGCAGAAGCAACTAGATCAGCTGTCTTAAGATCTTTACCTGATGCAGAATGTGTACACTTGACAGTGCCTGTATTTTGGAATTCTGCCAGTTTAGCATTAACTGCTGATCCATGCGAAGAACCCTCTGTGAGACCAGAGTATCTACTAAGTCATTCAGATATTTTAAAATTGAGAATAGCTGCTCGTTTAGTTGTCATATCTAACGGGCACGGTTGGAATAGTACAGAAAATACTACTGTTACATCAGATGGTGTACAAAATTTAGCCAAAGCTTTATTAAATGCGGGTGCACAGTGTGTGCTCATAGGAATGTGGGCAGTTCCGCCTACGGCTGGTAGTATATTATTACGAGCATTTTATAGTGCTATGTTACAAGGTGCTAGAGCATCTAGAGCATTAGCAGAAGCTATGCAAACAGTTCAGCATACAAGGCACTTCGCGCACCCTGCAAATTGGGCTGGCTGGTTACTCATTGGAGGAGATGCAAGATTGTCAAACAAAGTATAAAATTAAAAACATTTTTTTTTTTTAATATTTTTCTATATATATGAGTGTGATTTTAAATAATTTATTTAGGTTGCCTTAATGGGACAAGCACTTGCTGAATTATTGCGTGGCGGTCCTGAACAAAGTCGTGATGCTTTACGTGTGACGCTTCATTTGGTAGAGAAATCATTGCAACGAATACATCGCGGGCAGAAAAATGCTATGTATACAACACAACGTAGCATTGAGAATAAAGTGGGAGCAGCAACTGGTTGGCGGGAACTTTTAATGTCAGTGGGATTTAGATTTGAACCAGCTGGAAATGGAATACCATCTTCTGTATTTTTCCCACAAAGCGATCCAGAAGAAAGATTAACAAGATGTAGTGCAAGTTTGCAAGCACTGCTAGGGTTAGGACCAGCATCATTGCATGCACTCGCTAGATTATTACAGGTAACTAATAAAAACCTGTTTACTATAATATGAAAAATAATAATTTACTAGATTAAAAATAATTTTACATTTCATAGGCACCAGAAGCAGCAGAAGATGTCATTGCTGCAATGCGAAGAGCTACTTGTGCGACTGAAGGTCAAGAAGTAACATTACCAGTACAAGTATGGAGAGCATCAGGATCTCATGAGTTATTTGCAAGTTTAGGGTTTGACCTTATGGAAGTTGGTCAGTCAGAAGTTACGTTAAGGACAGGAAAACAAGCATCGCGAAGAGCCGTTCAGTTTGCTCTTCAAGCTCTTTTAGCTTTATTTGGTAAGTTCATCTGTTAGTAATATATAATTGTAAATAAAGTAATATACTCTTAATTCATAAAAATGTCATTAGACACTCAAGAAGCGCCTAAAAGTCTAACTTTAGACTCCAGTAGTTCCATGGAAAGTTTAGCTTCTGTCGCTCATATGGAAAAGAATGTTATAGAACGACCTCGACTAGGAGGTGCATTTGCAAATTATGTTCGACATCGAGGTGAACCAGATGGAAAAACTATGGAACCGCCAAATGTTCCAATTCCTACATCACGGCAAGCGTGTCAAAATGGAGGAGGTAATAATAAGTTAAATTTAGTTTTGAATCAGAAGAAAACATAACATAACGTGTTTTAATATGCATGTTTTCTAGGTGAATCAGATGTTGCTTTTACTCCCAGTCCTCCAGTAGCACTTAATTTGAATCACCAAACACGTATTAGAAATCTTTATCCTGATCAAAGTATAAGACCAGGTTCTAGTTCAAGTAGTTCAGTAACAGACTGGGACAATGGACATGCAACGGTTTTAAGGCGACAACCATTACCACCGTTACCAGCCACTGTACTAGAAAGATTAAGCGTAAGAACAGAAATTGGATCTAATGCTCCTAGGAAACATCGACATCCTACAGCAACAGAAGATATTTGTTCTCAAACAGATTCAACACAATCTGCTGAAACGCATAATCAAAATTTAAGAAACGTAGCTACATCACTTACAAATCTAACACGTGAATTAACACCTACAATTTCAGAGGTATATCACGAGCGAAATTTAGGATTAGGATTGGCACCGTCTTTATCAAAATTATTAGGAGAAGTAAGTTCTGTTCCTGAAAATGAAGAAAGTCAATCAACACGAACAAATCACGATCAAACTCAAAACTGGATACACAATGAATCGGAATTATGTCGAAGAGATGAAGCTGATGGTAGATCGATTGCTGAATCACAATGTAGTGCTACCAGCTCTAACAAAATACATAGAAAAGCACCTCCTCCTCCAGTATAGATTATTTATATATTATTTATAAGCATTATGTAATACTTTAAATAAGAATAATAGCACTAGGTACCAAAGACTGGAAGATATTTTATTGGAAACAAATTTTCAATGTTTTGTGATCAGAGCTGGGAATATTTAATGGTAATACGTATTTTTTAGTGATATAATTATACTTATACACTTCTGTTTAATTCTTGTATAACGATATATTTTCCAATATAAATATTAGTAAATGCCATTTTTATTTAAAGTAATAATTAATCAAATTTAGTGTGAATTAAAGGTATATTATTTACAATGTCACCCAATGTTGTTTCTATGTTCGTTGACACAAAAATGTATTATATTAGTATTAAGGTAAACATACATGTATAATGTTGTATTAAAATTGGCCAATTTTATATATATATATAAAAGGTTATTAGAAAAGTGGAATTATGTATTATGTAAAATCTATAACACCTTTAAAAGTATATTATTTCACTAATTTGTAACATTCCATTTTTGATAAATATATTGTCACATTTTTTCATGTATGGTATTTTTATACAAAAATTATGTATATATGGATATATCTAATTATATCATTAAAAAACAACAATAGTAGTATATTTATTCTTTTTTATTACATAAATAAAAATTCTACTTATAGTAATAAAATCAATAAATTTAAGAAAATTATGTAATCTTCATTAATATGTTACTAAAACAATTTCAAGTGTCCAGTTACTTGATCAATCAATGGCGCTGGACCTGGACCAATTGCACATACTGTTTTGCTTCCAGGCTCTATTTGTGTACGACCAGCATCATGTATTATATTTGCTAGAAGTCCTACAGCTCTAGCATGTTTTACTATTTCTTTTAATGCATCTTCACTATCCACCTAGACATTTTATTATCGAATAAGTTATTTAATATTTAAAGTACCCCAATTTTTTTACGAAATTATACCAGTACATTATTAAAAAAAAAATGGAATAAGAATGTGAACCTATAATGTATTTATATGTGATATAGAATAAGAAAATAGTTTATTGTCATTTCATATTTTTGTTATAATTTATTAATAAAGCATTTAAGGCTATATTTTTATAACATTTTTACTAATTTTTATTTGTATAATACACTGACAAAATTTTATGAAAAAACTGAGATAGCCTGTATACATACCTTTACAGTAATTTTTGCTTGCCCACATTCTTCCCAAGCTTGTAAAATTTTTGGATGTTTTCTGACTGATTTATAAGCTGCAACAGCAGCATGAGCACATTGTGCTGCTACTTTTCCTTTTCCCATTTTTAAGTCAGTTCTAATTACCAATATGAGCTTATAATTATCATATTCATCTGTATACATCTGTAAAAAAAAATATAACATTTTTATTATATTACATTAGTTATAAATGAATGTAAGTATAAGAATTTCACTCTTTCGTACTATGTTATTTGAAGACTCATCTGAATCCTTAGAAACCTGCAATTTTCTTCTATTTTTTACTGTCATTATTTTATATAAACAATATCCTATTACTGTTGCAATGGCAAATCCAACTTTTGCATCCGTAATACTTTCAAGTAATATTTGAGAAATATTCATTTTACTAAAACTCATTCGAATTTAGTGATTTTAATTCAAGTTTTGATATTTATACCTGTAATCATTTATTATGGATATAATTTTTTAAATTCAAATCTAATTAAAAGTAACAAATTGAAAACATACATACTTATACCAATTTTATAAGAGGTCCGATAGTTGAACATGAAGTTCTTAGTGTAAATTATATGAATTCTAAATTATTTTCTACTAAAAATTATTCAAACATATTTACGCACACCATTGACTACAGATATAGTTTTATAGTTATTGCTCATACTCATACGTATGGGAAGATCATATATTTCTGCAGATATTAGCTCTGATTTGGTTTACCATTACGCTCTACCCGCTAGAGATGGCGCGATCTGCTACTTTTGAATCACTCGTAATTCTAGATATATGTATAAGACTAGATTTTGCAAGTGTGCATTGAGACGTTCCCTTAGTTGTTCCAATAGCGAAATAGAAAGCGACGCATACGAGTATGATGCTTCATTGACTTCTATCTATAATTTGATTATGTTTATGGGTGAATGATTTTGTAATATGGTTTATTAGGTTTAGGTTTTTATTTACTTCCGTAGAAGATGGCGTTTTGGCCTAGCTGGCTCATTCCACCTTTAATACATCAGTCTTACGTTGACTACGTTTCCATCGAGGGTCCAAATCGGGTCAGAGTCGGGTTGGGGTCAGCGCTTGTACGGTGGAAACGCCAAAGGTTTAGTTGAACTCTACCCTATAAAATTTTAGGCCCAACCCGACTCTAACCCGACTCTGACCCGATTTGGACCCTCGATGGAAACGTAGTCAAAATTTTAGGGTAGCGTTCAGTTGAGGTGCGGTGGAAACGACAAAAGTCGAGTTTGTATTGCCAACATAACAAATCCAAATTGCATTGTGTATCACGTGCTGTATTAATCGGTGTAGAAGAGGTTATTATTACTTTTTGTCGGTGATCTTGTAATCTGAGAAATAATTTTTGTATGCTATTTTGATATTGTAAAATTAATATTGCTCAGCTTTACATGTCAGAATATGGTAGTTGATTTTGTGCAGTTGGTAATGTTCAACCCAACTCCAACCCCAACGTAACTCTGATCCGATGGAAACAGGCAAGGCAACTTAATTATAATGGCTCTAGCCGCCGCATTATTGTCATCCCATTCATCCGATATTTTTAGATTTGCCTCATAATTTGGATCATTTTCATCAGGTTTTAAAACAGTCTTCACCCCCATTACCTTTTTCCACAATTTTTTGGCCCTGAGTATTCCTTCTACTCTCTCACTCCACAGGAAATAATTATTATTATTTAACGGCTCAATTGACGCCAAGTTCCAATTTTCTCCCATCTTTCTTTTATATTTTTTTAACAGGCTTCGTTACTGTACCACGTGCTAAATTTTTAATCTCACCTTATCTCTTTAATCTCAAGCAACCACGAATGCTCTGCTACCACTTTGTGGGGGAAATAATGCTGTTGACGACTTTATATGCATATTTATATTTATATATATATTTAATAAACGTAATTTGAATTTTAAAGTTTAATGCTTACAAACGACACACTCCACGGACATCTTTCACACACCGGTTCATTCCCCTTTTTTTTTCCACTTCAGCCAACCCAAAAAATATCTCTCACCAATTTCACTCACTCTACACTCTTACCAACCTCATTCATACACCAGTCGTACCAACCTATTGTAAAAACCAACCTCACAAGGAAAGTATGTTTTCCAACTCAAGGATAAACAGAGATAGGCCATTAATTCATATCATCAAACTTATTGAGGAGCATACTCTACTTTTGAACAGACTTCCAAATCTTTTGCCCAACACAACAACATACTCTTCTCAGCTCGTACAACTCTTTATAGAAACTGAGTTCATTTTCAAATTAAGGAACACTTCAAGCGCAACAGATATTTTTCAGGACACAATGCTCAACAATTACTTAGGACACAAAATAATTTACACGGACGAGTCCAAGTCGGATGAATTTCCAGCTGTAGGTGCAGCGTGTGTCATTCCGGAAAACAACTTTGTTGATAGAACGACCATTCCTAAGCAGACCTCAGTGTTTACGGGTGAATGTATTGCCTTGGAAATGGCCATATCTTTTATTTATAGAAATCAACAGTGTTCCTACGATGTTTGTACAGACTCGCTTAGACTCGTTCAAGCTTTGGAAAGAACAAGAATTAAGCCTCATACAAACATTCATTTAGTCAATATTAAAAACACTCTTAGGTTACTTAAGGAAGAATCACCAGTCTATGTGGATTCCATCACATAAGGATATTCCAGGTAATAAGTTGGCAGACAGAGAGGCTAAAAGAGCAGCACAATCCGAAGTTAAGGAGATTTTTAGTGTCCCTTGCACAGACATTTTCCCATTGTTAAAACAAAAGATTGTGGAAAGAGCACAAAATGAGCTGGTAAGTCAAGCCAGACAGAAAGAAGCGGTATATTTTAACAACTACTACTAAGTGAATAATTCCAAGCCTTGGTTCTATAACAAAAATCTTTCAAGACACTTAACAGTTTGGATCAACAGAGCAAGATCAAATCATTTTAATCTGAAAGTATCGTTGAGGAAGATCAATGTTGTGCAGGACACTAAGTGTCAATGTGGACACCCTATTGAGGATATTGCCCATGTGCTGTGGGATTGCACTTTTACTCAACAGCACAGGAAAGAGATGTTGCAAAGATTAAAGTCCTGCAAGCTTTCTTTACCATACAAGATAAGAAATTTCTTAATTAAACCTAACATTACAGTTTTGAAAATTATAGATGGATTCTTTATTAAAAATAATCTAAGACTGTAATTGTACAAATAGTAATATACAGATTTACTTTGTTTAGGTACACTTTCGTGAGCAAATATAGTTAAGTAGGACAACGATTAATATTAGTATGTACATAGATATGCAATATTTTATAGTTTTATAATTTTTGTTATTCTGTCAAAAGAATTTATATTTGTATTTAATAAAGATAAACACATATAGGTCCGGATTGGATCTGAAGTGCATTTCAATAAAAAAAAAGTGTGGTGTTTGACCTCTGATAAAATGTCACAGGCTAGTCTGGTCTGCTACTCTGACCTATGGAGTACTAGAATACTGATCTACTCGACAAGGTCGATCTGAGTCTTTCTGTACTATTCGCGTCGCGAATAATAAGTTAGAATCAGGCATCCGGTACCGAAGGAAGTCTTGAGCCCCGATACGGTCCTCTTGACAAACTCTTAGGTGTCTCAACCTGGTTTTGACTTCGTGCGTGTCTTCACCGGACCAACTCCCCCGATTTATCCGTTGGGTGTAAAATGTGCTGTGACGGTCCTCAATCGTACTTTCCTCCGATAAATTGACTCCATCAGCAAATTCTTTCTACTTAGGAAATTCAATTTCTTTTTCACGCGTCATTGGGTGTTATAGTATATTGAAATTCATTAAAATTAATATAAAACATATTTTCGTGCATGACGGAATAAGCATTTGGGAAAGGATTTCTGGAGAAATTAGCGTATTATACTTGTTTCTTCAATACCGTGACCATTCGGTATTTTACGAGCGGATTCTGTGTTGCGATAAATAAAGCTCTGCTACATTATTTCGAAATCTAAATAACTGTAAAAATTTGACGAAATATATCTATTAGTGTTTGTTATTGCATCAATCATTTCCAACTTTCTTCAATGACCAAACAGATCACTCTGCTGTTCAATACCTGGAGGCACGAAACCTTAAAATTCTTACTTAGTAGAATTTAAATTATATTAATTTAGCATTCATTTATACATATACGCCCAGCCTGGGCTTTAAATCAGTCAAATTGCACAATAAGTATAATTATAACATTTACAGTACATTAATTTGTTTTCTGGTTTTGCCAGTAATAAGATTCTAAACAAATAATAGCAACGCTGAGTGTTGCTTTGGTTGAGCCAATTCGAATACACCGTCAATTTGTTCAATAAAACTACGGACCTTGAATCTACCACCATCAAAATTATCTAGTATTAAACGAATTAAAAATTCTAAACCAAGTTTTTCTTAGGTTGTCTCTAATTTTTACTAGGAACGTTATCGGTGTCGACATTTTAAAATTGTAATTTTGAGAATAAAATGAACAAACAAACAACTTATGATCTTTAATTTAATGGATTAGGTTGAGGATTTTAGATATTGGCCGTGCAAATGTCAGAAATTGAAGAAATACCAGAATTCCGGTATTTACCGTGCCGATCTTCCTCTTGTATATTGCTAAAATTATTAATGGGTTGACTCTGCTTAGCAGGAGATTCTTGACAAATTGTGATCCTTGTTTGAGGAGTTTTCTTGGATAATGCGATCAGCGTTGTAATTAAAAGTGACACTCTCGTACAGTGTTGAATTTGCAAATTCAAAAGTTACAACTGTTAACGCAAGTACCGATCATATCCTACTTCTGACACCAAAATTTATCTTGGAAAACCGGATTCAAATCAAAGTGGTTTAACTATTAATTTATTAACACATAAGTAATTCTACTTTGCCTTTAACATAAAATAAGTATAACCAGCAGGATCGAGTACTTGTAGGAATCTAATTCTTAAGCGGGGCGACAAGTCCTTCAACAGTCCTTGCAGAATTTCAATCGATTAAAATGGTTTAACGAGAGAGGAGAAAAAGAAACGGAGATTGGGTAAAATACTGAAAGAAAGTGGGTTTTTGGAAGTGGAAAATGAGCTCTTGAGCAGTCTAGGACTGATGACAGAAAGGGACTCGAGAAATGGAAATGGCATGGTAAAGAAAGTGATTGACGAACATATGGCTGGGACCTCCAACAAACTAAATGTGTTATGACATAAATTTAAATATTAATGAAATTTTATAAAATATACAAGATTTAGTAATCATTATTTAGTTTTTCAATTGATACAAACAAACCAAATCTTTTAAAAAATTTTATTGTATTTATAATTTATTTTTGTTATTGAAGTATGTCGATATTCTTTAAAAAGATAAGGATTGTATGAAGTATTTGTTAGAAAATTCCCAATGACCCACCCCAATAAAGCAGGGACGACGGGCACATGGCCGTCCTACGACGACCACCACAGGGTAGAGGCCTGACGCTGTGACGTTCGGGCCATAACACAACCCTGGGGTCTTAAGCTTCGTGGGGACTAGGAAACCTCGCGGAACGGGAAGAGGGCATTCGTCTACAGACCTTGGAAAGGCATCCTTCTCTTGAGGACATTACTTCGCCCACAGAATCTGCTTATATAATATATATAGAATTTTTGAAACCGAACTCAGCGTGTCAATCATTTTCTACCTCGTTTTACAATTCAGAAGTGGGATACACCTAAAGAGGTTCGATAAACCTCGCGTTTTAAATCCGCTCGTGATATACAGTGCCAATTTTAGACGTTTTAACGCGGTTGTGCCTGTGAGTAGTAAGACAAGTAATAGTGTGTTTTGGTGACAATGGTTCGATCAAGCAGGAAGTCGTGAAGGTCATCTCGGGATTGTTCACGAGGACGTTTGCGCGAGCATGAACAATTGAAGGACTTCGTGCATAAGGGAAAAAGTGTACGCGATCGTTCGCGAAACCGTTCGTAAGATGATTCGCGTAATCGTTCAAGGTACGAGCGAGAAAATCGTTTGCCAGGGCGAAATATGTACGATAGTGATCGTTCTAAAGATCGGGATCATAGTGAATCTCGTGACCGTGGATGCGATGGATCGCGGGACCGAAAAAGAGACACTTTGCGAAACCGCAGATGCGGCGAATTGCGAGATCGTCGGCGTCATAGTTTGCGGGATAATTCATTGGACAGTTATTCTGAATCTTTGCATAGTGGTACATTTAACGAACGAAGGTGATCATGGGATCGCGAACGAAAAGTGCCGCGTGATCGTTCACGCCGACGGAACCGTTCGGTGGACAGCTCCGGTTCGGAGGATTTGCGTGCGACGGTGAAGCGGTTGAAGCAAGAGCTTCAAGCGGTGCATTATCGACCAGTCAATGAACAATTCGCGATACCGAAGTTCGACTCTGCGAAAGATAGTGCGGACGTGGAACAGTGGATACGGCAGGTTGATCGCATAGCGCGGCGATATAATTGGAGCGACAACAATATATTGCTGGCTATTGCCCGAAGTTTAAAGGGACATGCACAACATGCACGACGTGTGTATGATGAGGAGTTAGTCAACGATCATACGTGGAGGTCGTTGAAAACGATTCTTTTGCGACGTTTTAAGAAGCCCTTACCGTTTGCACGATTATTATTGGAAGCAGCCACCTATACTGCCAGTCCCGGACAGCGCTTAAGCGATTATTGTTTTGAAAAAATTGTCAAAATTACGCGCGCTTAAATTGGACATTCCGGACGCTTACCTGGAAGATGCGGTAATCGGCGGCATCTAGGATGAAAACGTGGCCAGGACCATCAGGTCAAAACGTTACAAGGACGCGGACGAATTGTACGCAGCGATGAACGAGATGGGAACTATGCCGCAACGGACAGATAGCGAAAATGAAAACGGAGCATTTACGCCGACGGGAAGCCCTGGGCCTTCGACGACCGTGGAATAGATTCAACAATCGGCGGTGATATGTTATAGTTGCAGGGAAGTGGGACATTCTTCTGCTCAATGCACCAAAAAACGGAATAATTGCACGTTCTGCAATAAATCAGGGCATTTGAATAAATTTTGTTTCAGGTTAAGACAGGCTAATATCGAAAAGTGATCGATATACTGGCGTTTACGCATTGGCGGCGACGGCAGCAAAAACGGACAACGATACGGTTGGACTCAACGAGAGGCTAGCAGGTAGCAACAAAGAGACTTGGTAACGGTCAAAATGACCATTGACCGAGCAACGGGAGAAAGCAGGTAGCTTTGTTCAAAAATCAAGGAGCCGTTGAGGATGTAGCAGACACGTAAATAACCATTATGAAGTCGAGGGTTTAATAAAGGGAGGTAGACGAGTCAAGCTCGCTTTCCTGATAAAATTGAAATCTTGAGATGTAGACGGCTACTATTTATTAAGCATTCGTAGAATATTCTTTCGAGGATCGAATTGATATTTTAAAAATTGAACAATATCATCCTATTAAAATTACTTAATGCATCTTTTATGGGAAAATGACATAAAAATTCAAAGCAGAAGTTTGTTCTTCCTACAATAAGCATTACGCGTGCGCGCCCGTGACGCGCCGCACGATACTAAACCGGATCATATCGTACGATATTACACAACCAGTCAACGTCATTTTTAAGCATAAATAAGAGACAATTATATTTGCGTTATACATAACTGTTAATTTTATTAAATTTGTATCACAAAACATTTATTGTTAAAGTACATAGGTATTCCATGTATATGTCAATTTTATAGGTAACAAATAGTTTGAATAAGTTAGGGAACATAATCATGGCAATGGTGGTATTGCTCGAAGAAATGATTCAAACGGTTTTCGATGCACCATGCACATGAAATAATTGCTGCGTCACTACATATGTGGCATAGTGGTTCATTATGTGATGCATAGCAAAATACGGGATTTTGAAAATGAGGTCTTGACGATATGTATCTACTTTATACCATGGAGTATTTGAACCTTGATTACAGCAGACCATGTTCAAGGCGATGAATATTTCTATTATGGCATCGACATCCGAAAAACTTACAAAAGAAAATTTTAAAACCTGGTTAACAGAAGTTTATTCTCCAAATATAAACAACAAAACAGGTATTACTGTTGAGGCTTTCGGGTGTAAGCCGTGTCCTAAAGGAAGCGAGTTCCCAACGTTTCGCCAGCATTGCAGCTAGCTTCATCAGGGGTTACACTGATACTGGTGCGACTGGTGTTATGTCGCTAAAGCGAACAAGAGAACCTAGCCACTGAACTGGAACACATCAGGTCTACGCTACAACAAAACGGTTACTCCAGACACAGAATTAATCGCACCATAGACCGACTGACCAACCAAACAACAAAACCGACACACAAACATACGACGGACACACACGACAAAGAACACGCAACTACCTTCTTACCATACATTCAAGGTACGACGGACCGCATAGGAAGAATCCTCAGGAAACACAACATTAGGACTGTTTTCACAACTCATACCAAAATAGGACAACTCCTCACCTCCCCCAAGGACCCGCAGCCGCAGCTGTCTACACCAGGGGTATACAAAATCCCATGCTCATGCGACCAAGTATACATTGGCGAAACTGGGAGGAGCGTGTACACCAGACGCAAGGAACATGAGCGTTGCGCCAGGTTGGGCTACATCCAATCAGCAGTGGCAGAACACCAGATTACCACTGGGCACAAAATCCTGTTTGATAAAACCGAAGTTTTGGCAAAAACATCAGCCTACCTTCCCCGGAAGCACAGGGAAGCAATAGAAATACGGAAACACCCGAACAACATCAACCGGGAAACAGGATATCACATTAACCCAATCTGGCACACGCTCTTCCCAGTTTTTTTTAATTGTGCGCACAATCAAAAAGGTCCCACTTTCAGTTTGGACGCAATCAACCGGAACGGCCAACGATCCGGAACGTGAGCATCGCATCAGCCGGAACAGTCAACGATCCGGAATGTGAGCATCGCATCACAGCATAAGGGGCGACATAACACCAGTCGCACCAGTATCAGTGTAACCCCTGATGAAGCTAGCTGCAATGCTGGCGAAACGTTGGGAACTCGCTTCCTTTAGGACACGGCTTACACCCGAAAGCCTCAACAGTAATACCTGTATGACCGCCGGGCCGTGAGAACCTCAAATCTCTTTTAAAACAACAAAACAGCTCTATTATTAGATTCTTGAAGCGTGCATTGTTGTCGTAGAGTTGACGAAGCCATTCCGATAAATAAAGAAATAACGTTATTTATGATTCTAACTAGAATTGATTCTAACTGGAACTACAAAATATTTACAACCATTATACGTGTACGGATTTCGCGTATGGAAAAATTTTGTTCGTCGCTTTTCGGATATAGTTGTTATATTGCAATGTGACATTAATCTCCACACACGAGATAGCGTTCTAAAACTACAATGACTTGTTCATAATCAGTTTTCTTCACGGCGATTTGAAAATTTCATTTCATGATATAAAAGTGGATACATATCGTCAAGACCCCCTCATTTCCCAAATACAATAGAATTTTGGTATGCATCACATAATGAACCACTATGTCATATACATATGCGGTGACGTAACAATTATTACATATACTTAATGTCGGAAACCGTTCTCTTTGAAACATTTTTTCAAAGAATACCATTATTGCCACGATTATGTTCCCTAACTTATTCAAACTATTCGTTACCTATAAAATTGACATATACATAGAATACTTATGTACTTTAACAATAAATGTTTTGTGATACAAATTTAATAAAATTAATAGTTATGTATAACACAAATAGAATTGTCTCTTATTTATGCTTAAAAATGATGTTGACTGGTAGTGTAATATCGTACGATATGATCCGGTTTAGTATCGTGCGGCGCGTCGCGGGCGCGCACGCGTAATGTTTATAATAAAAATCTGAGGAATTGTAAGAGGCAATATCGTATGTATATGTACCAATGAATTTGTAATAAAATTCTCTACACTTTTTGTCATTACACAAATTTGAATAAATTGCAAAATAAGGTTATGATATGAAAAATTTTTTTGTTATAAACAAATTGTATTTTGCAAAATCCGTTAACATCCTGTTATTATACGCTAGAAACCTTACAACTTTCCTATTAGAAGTTTTAATGTATCTCGTATGGTTTTCGAAATAGCCAAAAGGGGTCGAAACTTTAAGGGCTCGTTTCACTCCTTAAGGGGGGAAATACCTTTAGACCGATGAAAATAGGCTGATTTTTGTGAATTTTTTTGTATAGGATATCTTTGTTTTGCGTTTTTGAAATTTCAGGTATAATTTATTATAACTATTGCCTATTACACAATATTTTTTGTTTTTAAATACATTTAAAAATGGCGGAATTATAACAGTCCTTCCTGGAAGTGTTTGGCGCGTCTCGTGAATCGGTGTGGGTTCTAGCCTTAGATATATTGCAAGTTTGCAGACAATG